ACCAGACTGAGTCCAGTACAGCTAGATGGTGCCCGGCTACCACCACTGACTGCTCTGACCAGGATCACAACAGAGAGTTCTGGACAGAGCTGGAGAAGGATGTAGAACAAAATTCTAACTCACACAAAAAAGACCCGATTTACTGGCCTAAAGGAGACTGGAGAAACCCTAAGACTATGGTCTCAGATCACCCTTTTAGCTTAGTAATGGAGTCACTCCCGAGGTTCACCCTTCCTTCAAAGATTAGACAACCTCATAAAACAAAACTAGACTAATGGGGCACAACAGCCCAGGGACAAGGAGTAGAAGGCAGGAGGGGACAGGAAAGCTGGTAATAGGGAACCCAAGGTTGAGGAGGGACAATGTTGACATGTCCTGAGGTTGTTAACCATTGTCATAAAACAATACGTGTACTGTTTAGTGAGAAACTATTTGTTCTGTAAACCTTCTTCTAAAGTAGAAGTAAAAACAAAAACAAAAATCTCTTCGTTATAGGTTCATTTAGTTGTTCTACCTCTGTTTGTGTTAGTTTAGGTAGGTAGGGAGTTTCTGGAAATTGTCCATTTCCTCTAGGTTTTCAAATTTGTTAGAGTACAATTTTTCATAGTATTCTGTTATGATTCTTTTCATTTCAGTTGGGTCCGTTGTGATATCACCCATCTTATTTCTTATAATGATAATTTGCTTCCTGTCCAGTTTTTTTTTTTTTGTCAGTTTGGCCAATGGTTTATCATTTTTGTTGATATTTTCAAAGAACCAGCTTTTGGTCTTGTTAAGTGTTTCAATTGTTTTTCTATTCTCTATTTCATTTAATTCTGCTCTAATTCTTATTATTTCCTTTCTTCTGGCACCCGAGGGCTGCTTTTGGAGCTCTCTTTCTACTTGTTCCGGCTGTAGGGTTAATGTTTTTATTTTGGCCTTTTCTTCTTTCTGGATATCTGCATTTACTGCTATAAACTGACCTCTGAGCACTGCTGTTGCTGTGTCCCAAAGGTTCGGGCAGGATATGTTTTCATTCTCATTTGATTCTATGAATTTCTTTTTTCCATCTTTAATTTCTTCTAGAACCCAGTAGTTTTTGAGCAAGCTGTTGTTCAGTTTCCATGTGTTTGATTTTTTTCCTTGCTTTTTGTGTTATTGATTTCTACTTCTATGGCTTTATGGTCAGAAAAGATGCCTTGTAATATTTCGATGCTTTGGATTTTGTTAAGGCTTGCTTTATGGCCTAATATGTGGTCCATTCTGGAGAATGTTCCATGTGCATTGGAAAAGAAAGTATACTCGGCTGCTGTTGGGTGCAGTGTTCAGTATATGTTCAAGAGATCAAGTTGGTTGATTGTAGCATTTAGATCGTCCGTGCCTTTACTGAGCTTCTTTCTGGATGTTCTGTCCTTCATTGAAAGTGGTGTGTTGAAGTCTCCTACTATTATTGTGGAGCTGTCTATCTCTCTTTTCAATGCTGTTAGAGTTTGTTTTATGCATTTTGGAGCCCTGTTGTTGGGTGCATAAATATTTATTACAGTTATCTCCTCCTTCATTATATAGTTTCTTTCCTTATCCTTTGTGGTGGATTTTATTTAAAGTCTAT